TTCAAGTTTTGTGCAAAAACGCATGATCGCTCCGGCTCGCCTGGTGCGTTCCAGCCTAGGTTATGTTTCAGTTGTATTCCACCCAGAATTCCTGCACTTTGCTGAAAATTCCGTTCTTCTTTGCTGAAGTGCTAATGAAATGTAGCACTGCTCTTGCATGCAGAGCCAGGGCTTTGACTTCATCGCTGAGGCGATTAGCCCTTTCTGTTCCTTTTATTCAACGACGAACTAGTGGTGCCTCGCTAGTCAGAATCACTATCAGCTTATTTCTAGGCGATTCTGAAAGAACGAACTGTTGGCGGTTTTGACAGAATCTGATGCTGTCGGTTAGGTGCTGCGTTTTCGCTTATTTCCGAGGGGTTTTCGTTTTAATTGGGAGCGAATTATGGAGGAAGTACTGCAGTTGCATTTTATCTGTTTGAAAATTGCAGAAGACGAAATCTGCGTCCAGTTTTGTGAAAATTGCTTATCCGAATAGAGTTGCTCCTGAAAATCTGCACTCTGTTCTACAGCCATTTGCAAAAATTGACTCCAAACAGTATGTTTTTGATTTGACTCACTATTATGGTGTTTTCGCTCGTAGTGGCTAAATGATTGCAGAGTACGTTGTCCCTACAGACAAACAGCTAATTTTATTAATGAGAGCAGTAATTACTGACTGGCACTGCCCTGAATAGGAACAATTAGGATGAAGGAGAAAGATGAACGAGTATCGTCAAGGCTTCAGCTCTACTCTCTGCATGAGACTATCGCATTAACTTTTCCATTTGTCTCAATACCAGAGAGTTTTTATAAACAAATGTGGGCGCTCAACGTAATAAAATATACCGAAATAAGCTGTGAGACTTATTGGCCCAAAGAGCATAAAAGCAGCGTTTATTTAGGCGAATGTTATGTTGAGTAGTGACATGTTTTGACGAGGAAACAAAGAGGGGGAATTGGGGTGCCGAGGGGCAGAGGGAGGAAGGGAACTGGGCATCAACTTGATGGAGCATTTGCAAATGTGTGAGGAATATTGCTGGTTTGAATTCAAAAAAAATTTTAAAAACTATAGCATGTTAATGACAATTTGCTGTAGTCAGAGATTTACGTACGTGCAGGTCAAATCGTCTCAACTCTGTGTAATAAAGAATTTTATAGGGATTTGTTATCGGCTGAAGTGGCGCATTTGCGGGAAGAATCTGCGTTCACGCCTCGTACTGTATATGATTTGGATTCTTTACTGCTGAACGCAGCGCAGCAGCCATCTTCAGCCACACTTACGAACGATGACCGAGATCGGTATGCGTGCATTTTGGACGTCTTACAACTTGAAAAACTGTTCGGTATTGACTGTTTGAGAATACTGGGTCGCAGCTGTGGCGTTGCTGCTGTGAGTGGTCGGGTGCAGCTACCCCAAAATTAGCATATGAGCGGTTAATTTAGGCTTTTCTCAGATT